TTGTGGTACGAGAGCTCGTTGCTCACTGGTAGTACAGGAGTGCTATTGGCGTTGCCTACTTGGCCTTGCGCCTACGCTCTCATCCCTACCACTCAAACATTAAATCTGGTGAGTGCAACTATCCACCCACATGGAGGGATGCTAAACAACTTCAGCCAAGTCACAACTGCTTACACCCACCCAAATGCCGGGTGGCATTGTCATCAGATACTGGAATACCACATCTTATCATCCTGACACATTGAAATCTCCATTGTCGGATAATTAATCACCCGAGAATTCATTCTATCATTTATTCCGCCAGATCGAACAGATATTTGACAGACATTTGTTTTGCACTTATGTATCCATAAAATTGAATATAAATTTTGTAATTATATATTTTTAATATATTATCGATTATGTATTGATATCATGTAGAAAATACAGGAAAGAATGAAAATTTTTGGGAATATGGGAGAAATGTAGAAAAGGGGAAATACGAGATTGGAGAGAAATTAGCTCGGTTGACGTGTCAGAGGGTTGGGGAGGGCATTTGGTATGCAGAGGTGACTTAGCAAACAATGAAAAATTTCACGTCGAGAGGGACGAAAATGGTGGGACGATTTGCTTGAAAAACTCATGTTTACTCAAGACTTTTTTTACTGAGAAAAATCAACTCGTTTCGAGAATTGAAAATGTCCCCGGGACATTCAGTTAATCCAATCTCTCCCTCAGTTTTTCGAATATGCAATACACCGCAGGGCATTCTTTCATTGCCAATAACAATTGCATCACAATTATCGAATTTATCTTTTTCCCCTCTATACTATTATTCACATAAAATTAAAGAGTACCCTTTCTGCTCCTATTGATTGTTGTATTAATTATTCATTGGATTTGATGCGATGGGAATGCTCGCTCGCTGTTGGATTTCAATGAGAGAAATTCATCGATTGCCAATCGAGAATAAAAATGGAATTTTAAATTATTCAGAACACTCCTGACATCGATGAATCTGTGCAATTTTATATTGGTCATTTAACAATTTTGAGAGCTACCGGAGTAGGTGAATAAACAAAGACCCTATTTTTTTTTTTTTCAATTGAGAGGAGAATATTATCAACGTGACACGCATTGAAATCCAGTGTAGGGTTGATAAACCCCCGCAGGGTGTTTTTTTTTTCCTGTTTTCTTTTCTCTCCTTTTTTTTTTATCTCGACGTACTCTTTAACCCCCCAGAGTCTTAGCTGACATGCACAACTTCCATAGGTGAGCCTTATAGTTTCAAGTACATACGTGCAATTCAAGTTTAATGCATCTTCAGACGCTTTCAATGCTCATTCCAAGCGATTTTTATCGTGAAAATTGCAACTTGAAGGGACTAGCCAGACTGAAGAGACCTACGCAGCTCTCAGTTTTTTTTTTTTTTTTTTTTATAAATAAGAGAGCACTTTTCTAGTGATACAGTAATGAGAACTCCCCCGCGCATTGAGAAAAGTTGGAAAAATTATCCAGAGAATTATTATAATTTGTTACTACCTAATTAAATATTTACGCAACGAAATGGAATTCATTGAAGACCATCTCTTTGCGAATTTGAAAATCAATCTACAGAACATCTATTGAAGAGAAGCTCATGCAATTAGTCGTAATAATAATCAAATTCCGATTAAAATGGAATTGAATAATTACGTAATAATTTTAATGACAGAATAATTAGACAAATCGAATTATCTGAACTCAAATTTGAATTGAACGAAATTTTCAACTTGTTAAAATTGAATGAATAAATAATATCTCTCAGCTCTTAACAAAAGAATGAAAGTGCTAATTGAATTACTAGGGGAATATTCCAATTCATGATTTAATAACTCATAATTTATTATGAGATTGATGCAATGGAATATTCGGTGTCTCCAGTCCATTAGAATGTGACAGATACTTTTGGAAAACGCCGAGTGAATAATTCGAGTCACCTGGAACTTAGTTCATTTCAAAACTGAGGCTTTATTTAAATTATTCATACTTGCATATCACCTCGTAATTTTCAAGCGATGTCGATTATGTATGAAGAATCGGACACGCAAAAAGAATTTCCAATAATTATCGCCACTCGTCTGACACCTGACTTTCGGTATTCAAAATATGAGATGAAAACTTCTCAATTTCCCCAATAATGAATAATTAATTGCAGAAATAAATTCGAAGCTTGTATCATATTACAGTTTTGAACAAATTGAAACATTGAATTCGTTGAGGGAAAATGTCAGTGGAGTTGTGAGTGAGGTAAGGAATAAATAATTATTCAGTGAGAACTATGAAATTTTCCTGAGCAGCCAGCAAAAATACCTTTTAAAAATCCATCTTTAGAAAATACACGTTAACAATTTCGCCACAGCGAATTTTTTTTTTTTTTTTTTTTCTATCCTCCTTATTCCAAATTTTTCCTCTCTAGTCATTATTAAACAGCTTCAGCTGATGATTTAAAAAAAAATTGCCCAGTCCCTTGAGAAACGTTTGACCAATTAGAAATTAGAAAAATTTCCATAAAATTTTCATGATTTTGACGTTATTTGCAAAATGACTAGCCCTTCAAAGTGCCTCATGATGATCCTGATCCCCGAGTAATTATAAATCCAGGACGACACGAAATTTCACATTTACTCCGCGAGTACAAGACGCCGTAGGTGTTATTAATCCCAGAGACTTGAATATTTTGCTCATAACTTTAATATCAACGCTGGATATACATGTCTCCCGGATGACGATGAGAAGATTATACAGACGGGGATGATTGAGAAACTTGAAAGATGAGAGTAATTGTGATTAGATGGAAGATGCCTAGAAAGCCGTAAGCCACCAGAGGTGAAATCCACAAATCTCCCAAGAGAGTTGGAGTAATATTCTGCCTTCCAATTCAAGGAATATCCCATCTTTGCGAGACCATTGTGCCACTCGTGTCCCAATTTACCCCAGAAAATTTCATTTTTTTACCAATCCAAATTCAATAGTTGCATTCATTTGCTACCACGAGCGTCCCTATTTTTTACTAATCAATTAATGTACCTCGACTCAATGAGAAACGTTGGAGGTCTTTTGAAAATCATTCTCTCCTTAAACAAGGAGTGGATTTTATTTATTTTTTGATAAAAGACATAAAAAAACAACCGAATAATTCTGAGGTATGTCGTCGAGACATTCCGTGCCCTAGATAAGATAACAATATTGTCATTTTTCTCTCCATAGGAACCATAAAACACTGGTAATGGCCACCAGTATTGCCTCGTAAAAGAAGAATTCCCTCTTATCAGTCCACACTATCATAACTACTCAGCCAACACTCGCATTTGCCCAGTCACATTATTGTCAAACTTTTGCATTAATTTGAATTTAAAATGGGTGAGGTGCAAGTGTAAAGGAAGCACCAGTGTGGCTAAATGGAGATACGGTAATGCACATAAGGTGGCATAATTATTTCTCAAGTACTGCTGCATTATTCTGCCCTGGGGGATTAAGTTAATTGATTAAGCTGCCTGATTGTTATGTTTATGGAGAAAACTGATTCTGAGGGCATCGAGAATTAAGTTATGGTAGAGGGAGAGATCCGAGGGAGCGAGTTGGGGCTTCTCCCGGGTTATTACGGAAATATCATTTTTAATCCTGATTTTAATTGCCAGCAGTGAGTTGCGTAATTATTCCATCGAATTACTTATCAGAAAACTGCATTGCTTCAAGTCTTTACCCGTTAATTTTCCATTGTCTTTGGATTTGATCTTTATTTTTAAACGGAATCAGCAATTTAATGGGAGAATACCGTTCATCTCATTTGCAATTGTTAATTGCTGTTTATGTAATTGATTACTTAACTACAGAATTTATGAATTATTCAGTGCGATGTGATAAAGTGAGAAGTCGAGTGGATTGCATTGTTCTTAATTATCGATTAAACTCCAACGTTTTTAATTCCGGGGAAAAATATCGAAGGGAATTTTTTTCAAAAACTTGATCAGTTACAAACTTCGAAATAATTATGTCAATTTAGAAATCTCGTTGATTGGAAAAGTTGCTATGATTACAATAAACCAATAAGTCCGACAAAATCAATATTAGTCTCGACATTCACTGCAAAGAAGAAAATACATTTTCAACGAATATTCCATCGATGTTTGCCCAAAAATATGAAAACAATTCGTAGACTTAAAATCGCTCTTATTCCCCGGATTGTCGACCATTTTGAGGGTAGCTCAATTATTTATTGATGTGTATTAATTGAAATCCGTCGACTAATAAATAATTAAACCCCAGTAATTTTCAAAAATATCGATTGGTAATGCAGACGATAACAATGTTACTGACAACTCCACCAGGAGTACTGAGAGGAACTCACCGCCAGCGACTCCGAGAGATGTTTTCCTCCTTCGAGATATTTTTCGGGGTAAATGTGGATACATGTTCACACGTCCGGAGATGTAAATCGCGGGGAAAATCCTTTTCATTGTCAAATATCACAAACACTCACTAATTGCACTAACGATTTGCTTTTATTATCAAATACTCGTCGCCGCACTTCTCAATTGCATCAGCTGTTGTGACTCTTCGCCGCGCAAGATGGCGGCACGCGTAGCGACAGGTACCAGTCGTTCTCAATCGAATCCATCAGGATTGACTAAAGTAGAGGCTCAGTTCTGCGGGTTTGAGTGACCCCACCGGCATTGTAATACCTCACCCCAAGAGAGAGTGGGCGCCACACGAAATGCAGTACCAGTCCCGCTGTCAGCGTCAATGTTATTTTATGGGTTTATAATAAAAAAACAAAAATCAATTTCGTAGGGCAGAAAGTAACATTGACCCCGTCGACTATCGAGTCGGCTGACGGGCAGACACCCCAGTATTGCGTGTGGCGCCCTCCCTCTCTTGGAGTGAGGTACTACGATGCAGGTGGGGTCACTCTAATCCCCAAAACTAGGCCTTTATTTACGTCAACTTCTTTGGAATAGCTCCTCCATTTTCATGCTCCCGATACTTTTTTGACAATTTCGAATTTTTCAATTCCAGTGAATATCTTCTCTCGCAGCCGCCATTTTCATTTCTGTCGACTCTCTTCGATTCGATTTTTCAGGGGTAGCCATTATGCTCTCCTCTATATACGGATTATCTCTCGGTAATACGAAATTCACCTGTCACAAAGTTTGACAATGTCAATAAATCGCCATTCGATCGAAGTGCAATGTCTCGTAGTTGATAATCAAAATAATTAATATTGTGAATTAATAAACTGCTGTCACTGGATGAATAAATTTTCGGTCACTCTATTAAAATATTTTACGTTAGATTTTGAGAGTTTATGTGGTTATAAAATATAATATATTGATGAAAAATATATAAAAACTCTTTACAAATATTTTTTTTTTATAAATCGAATCAACCATGTGTTCACGCAATGGAACAAAGTACTCACGTAATTCGTGGTAAATAATTCTGTCACATTTCTCCTAATTAAATAATAATTATGAACATCAGTTGTTTAAAATAATTCATAGACTGAAGAATTCAATCGTCTCTCCACCACTTGAATAAACTGATCAACCATTTAATCTTAATATTCAATCTTACTTTAATTTTGGTCAGAATTTGTTACATCAGCAAATACCCAGTAAATTCTCCCAAGGAGCCGAGAACCCGAGGAGCGATAAAAAATTCTATAAAACATGGGATCAGAGCAGAGTTCTCAGGGTTCCTCGGGTCAGACTCAGGCCCGAGGTCAGCTTCGTCGAGGAAAAAGTGTTCCCAATCGAGAAAGACTCCCAGACGACACACCCCCTCGCTCCACAAGCCCAGGGCCAAGCATATGCTCAGACTCAGATCTACCCTACATATCCTACACTGTAAATCAGCCCATCGGTGACTCCCCGAAGATGTCAAACAAACACCTGTCACGTGGCAAGAGTTTCGGATCAGACATCGCAAGGAGAAAATCGAGCCTAGGTAGTAGAAAAATAACTTCCTCGAAAGCCCACAACATCGTGGTGGTGAAGCCAGCTGTGTCCGATCCAGCAGCAGACAGGGATCCTGATCTAGTCAAGCTCCAGAGCATCCCCATGTTCCTACCGATCATGAGGGGAACTCTGAATCTACCCCCAGGGGTCAGGGACCCTGAGATTCTCGAGAGACTCGATCCCCTGGGGCTTTACAACCTCTGCGCAAGGTATCAGCACCATCTCAATGCCAATGCCCAGATGATCACTGGAGAACAGCTGAGTCTCTGCTCTAATATCGATGCCGAGGTCAACAGGATCATGGCCCAAGCTGTCGACAGGCAAAAGAAATTCGCTAAATTCGCCGAACACATGAATAAGGTCCACGAGCTCAGCAGACATCTCACCAAGTGTCACATGCAACTCAATCAGACTCTCGAGAGCCTCGAGACACTCAACAATCTTCTGCCCATCAAGGATCGGTTGGAACCCTTCGTCTGGACCACTGGATAATTATCGAATTAGGATAGAACACTGAGAAATATATTTCTCGACAGATATGAAAAGATTTGGTGGAAAATATCTGGTGCATGTTTTCTGGAATAATCGGCATAATTGCGATTGCATTTATATTTTCAATTAATTTACGTAATTGTGTTGGAGCTTTGATTTTATTTCTATATGGAATTATTTCACAGGTGCAGTCTCCAGTGACTGGAGATTCAGAGAAAAATATGTTCTCTCGGCGCTTAGCTAATTGTACCGAGTGATTCGTGTAATGCATTTGGTTGTAAATAAATGAGAGGAAGTTTTCATTGCTCATGTCAGTTCATTTCGTGATTCAATGATTTCCTAGTTTTTATTAATCTATAAGCATTCACAATTTCGCTCTGCTGCTTCTCAAGAATTCTCCTCTCTGCTGTTGGCAGGTTTTTTCGTTTTCCAGTCCTGTCGATGGGTGTTTCGGACTTGTAGAGAATAGAGTTCAGCAGTAAATCACGTTTTCCAGACTGAAATCAAGAGGAATGAGAAATTAAATCAAATCGATTTAATTAATTCAGAGGAGTATATTGATTGAAAACAATTGATTTTACTATTATCTTTAGCTTGTCAATTCTCGCAGGCTTTACAGTGAGAGTAGGTGGAGCATGAACGACATCTCCGAACTTGATATCTTCCCGGAAATCCTTGAATTCATCGATATCCTCCTGCAATTTCGAGGCCTTCTTCGTCTGGGCCTTCCTCGCACGTTTCTGTCCCTTCGACAACTTCACCTCAGTCGTCATCTTCTTCTTCTTCTTCTTCTTCTTCCCAATATTCTTGTGTTTATTCTGCAGCTTCATCAATTCGTCAATCTCATCCATGGCCCTCTTCTCCAATCCCTCAATCATCCCACTCTCTGGATTCCTCTTCACCTGGACATTGTACTTTTTTTCGAAAACGGTTTCGTTGATGAAATTCCGAGTTTCCCTGTTGACTCTGTTGAGAAATACGTGGGGCTTCTCGTTGGGCAACTGATTGAACACCGGGACAGCTTTCTCAGGGCGCCCTTTCGGATGGTTCATCAAACCTCCACCTCCTACTTTAATTAATCTCTCTTTTACTTTCCCACGGCTTTTCCTCTTGGCAATTCCAATTCGACCGCTCTTAACGTCGTCTTTTAGTTTTATTACTCTTTGCAGACTCTTGGGAATCATTTGGTCGTCGTTTTTCGGTGGATTGTTTACTTTTGTCTTCAATCTGTCATAAATAAGTTATTTTATACTTCTCATCAATTTTTCCAATTCCATAGAACAAATAAATCAAATTTATAATTATGCTATTATTTCTTAGATAAAGACTGGGGTTCATCCAGTAATTGAGTGAACGATTTTAAAAACAAATCGCAATGAGAATTAAACAAGATTTTATGAATTGCTATTGTGTAAGCAATTATAACCTCAAATAAACACTTACTCATTCCATCTTCGTGCGCGTTGTTTTTCAGGATCCTTCACTCCCTTGTGTTTCTTACCAGGTATTTTCCTCCCCATGGCTCTCAAATTTCATAAACAATCGAATAAAAAACTTTTGTTTGACGTTGAAGAAAAAAAGCGCGTGTCGTGCCAAAAAGCGCGTGTCGTGCCACCTCCACTGCTCCACCATCTGATCGCTGTCAGGTAAGGTTATACCACTCGATTGAAAATATACAAAAAAATATATATATATATAAAATCGAGGAATATCTCACGTGGTGACATAATCGATCGTTTAATGATAATTGAGGCCCAGAATTCTCGATAATTCTAGGTAAATCCTGTGGAAAATAAAAGTGTCAGTGACAATTCGGAGCAGAACTGCTCTAAAAGGATTTATACAGTTTATATAATGCTGTCTTCTTTGACATTTGATCATTGTGACAAAGTACTGGTGGAATAGCTGGGGACAATTTGGCAATAAAATGGCAACGTTGACTCGACTGATGGAGAGCACAGTTTATCCTAGAGTTGCGATAATTAAGAGCTGCAGGAGAAAATTGTCGGGGGGAAATACAGATGATAAAGGCAGGCGGGCCAGGAGGCCTGTCCTCAGGGACAACGATGTAGTCGGCCAGGATGGAGATGATCTTAAGGAACCTACCAACTGCTGCATGAGAGGGTGTGCTAATTGCGTTTGGATTCGCTATGCCGAAAAGTTGAGCAAAAAACTTGCTGATAGCAATGCCGACGTCCAAAAAATCATCATCGATAAAGTTAAGGATCCTAACATGAAGGCTTTTCTGTCCATGGAGCTCAGGTGTCGAAAAATTTCGTGATGGTGTATTAAATATTCTTATAGGTCCATGGATTGTTTTTTTGTTCCCCATGTTTAGTCAATTGCTGAATTTTTACGAGCTGTTAATAAATTATTCTTAAAAGTATTATTGGGTTGTGTAAAAACATTGAAATTCCAGATTTTTTAAACTTGGATTTGTTTTTTTCGTCTTTGTATCGATAGTAAATTTTTTTTACAGTGTGAAAAAATTACTCTTGGATATTTCAAGTGAAACAACTTGTAATCTCTTACAATCTTAGATTCACTTGTAATTTAGTTGAATTTTTCAACTGAAATATCAGAAACTTTATTAAAATGTGGAAAAAAAAAGTGAAAATTGTGAAATTCAAGTGTTAACTTCTAATATCTTTTTATGTAACTTAGTAATGTTGCCTACGGCAGTGTTTGTAAAGTCAGGTACATCCTCACAATTAAAACTATCAAATAATTATTTACAAATGATATTGTCCTCTCACGAGTCTCTCGATTTAATTATAAAGATAACATCGAGTATTTGTCGCCATCGAGGGCTAGTCCGAAGACTCTTGATCTTCAGTTTTTCTTCTTTAAAGATGAGCCATTCCTGTCTCATATGAGGATCAGCTGGACCCCACTCAGCGGATGGCCTGAACGCACTCTTCACCATCTGATAAAAAATACAGTAAAAATCTAGTGAAATCTCTGGAACTCATTAGATCCAACGGAAATTTAAGAGAATTTACAGAGAAAGCATTAGGTGTTGAATGTATATTTACTCTGATAATAGATGTGTCTCTACGCTTGATCATGGCTACAACCGCCCAGATGGGAATTTGGGAGATCGCCATGGCGAGAATAATTCCTCCAGCGATATGGGCGGATTCGGGGTACGGTACATTCCTATAAATTAAAGGTGGCAATGTCGATACTGTGTACAGAAAAATTATGATGAGAACCAGAGGCGTCACGATGAACCAGCACAACCTCCAGTAGACACTGGGCTCCCTTTTGCTCATAAACTCGACGTCCTCCAAGAAATTTTCTATTCCTACACCCAGAACAATTGGCATTTTTTAATTCAACTCTAGAATTCTAATAAAATTTATTGGCGTAAACGCACAATTTGAAACGTAATTGTTTCATGAGTGATGGCATATTTTTCATAATTACCATAAACCCAGACGACTGCAGTAATCTCGAAAGCAGCTAATATGAAAACCACGAAGGACGTGCCATAACGATCTACCAGAACCAGGATAAATTGTCCTCCCTGGATAAACAAAAAATATTCTACTATTCATTCAGTCAATCATTCTCCCACGTGATTGTCAATACTCACAGGAGTAATATAAACAAGCCCAAGCAAAAATCCAATGAAGCAAACTGGATAAACAATCTGCCAGTGTTTGATCCCTGGAAATTGTCCAGTGAGTCCTTCAATTATTGCTCCACTCATGCCCACTGCACTGCCCACACCCAGGACAAACATCATAATGAAAAACAGCACTGCAAACAGCTAAAAAAAATACGAATTCAATTCCTCCATTCAAATTACAGGGAATTTTTTGTTTTTATTTCACTCAAATTTTTTCACAGATCAAGCATTTGAACTCCATTATTTCGATTTTAAAATGGAATTCGCTGAATTATTCTTGGAGAAGCTAGAAATTTTTTAATGAAGTTGAATTAGAGTTTTGCACACCTGAGGAATTAATGAAAATTTAGCGATGGCATCGGGATACGAGATGAAGGCCAGACCAGTACCAGACCGGACGACAGTCGAGATGTCGTCGGTTCCTATCTCCTTGGCGAGATTTCCGAGAATTCCAAATATTGTGCACCCAGCAATCATACTTGTGACAGTATCCAAGCTCGTAATAATGATGACATCTCTAAAACCATAACAATATCGATTGAACGAATTACAGATGTAGATGTCCATATTGTATGTGAAATAGAAATTCGGTGTACCTGTAAATATTATGCCTGAAATTGTTGTGCGAGGAGAACGAGATGATAGCACCAAAGCAGACTGACAGCGAGAAGAAGCACTGTGTGACAGCGGCATACCAGACACCAGGTTCCAGCAATTTCGACCAGTTGGGTTTGATGAAGAAGAGAATGCCGTCCACTGCCCCGTCGAGGGTAACAGCCCTCACTAGGAGGGCGATCATCACGATGTAAGGGAATATTGCCAGGAAGTACGAGGTCTTCCCCATGCTCTTTATTCCTCTCGACAAAACGGCAAAGACGCAGACCCAACTAGCTGCCAGGCAAATTGCTAGACGCCAATCTGGCAATCCTATCCCATCGTCAATTGACGACTTCTCCCTCAGCACTATTTTCCTGGAGGATTATCAACAATTTTTTTGCCAATAATTTACAATTAATATAATTTCATCAGCAATTAGCATTGAAAATATTTCTAGGAAAATAACTCACGAGAAAAATAATTCCGCCGAAGTTCTCAGTGAAGATGTATTTCTCGTCGCATGTGTCCTTGTCGCATTACTGGTTAGTCCATTCAGGATACTATCGCCAATTTTTCCAGAGTCAATGCAGGAGTCGCCCCATTCCTCTCTGCAGTGGGCCCAAGGTAATTCAGAGGAAAATGATGATACGAGATAGAAAAGGGTTAAGGCCATTAGACAACAGTAGTACGAGGCTAATGCTACCACCGATGCTAGCTGGGCCCATCCAACACCTGATAAAAATCGAAATCAAATTTTGTTTATGTTTAATTCACTGTAGAAGTGTCTACTTAGTTGGAATTTAGACTAATTGATTCTTCCAATTACACTTTGAATATCTAATTGTCACGTTGATGGAGGATCTTAATGGGTGCGATAGCATTTTTCCATAATCTATCGATGCATCACTGGTGATTTTTTTTTTTTTTTTAATTTTAAGAATTCTTTGAAAGCACCAAATTTACGTGATATTTATCTGCATTTTCAAACAGAAATATCAGATAGTGTCTTGGCATACAATGGCATTTTAATATCCCACAAAATTCCACCCATTATTTTCCTGGACTCTCAATCTATTGACAAATCAAATGAATTTAGTAAAGTGAAAGTTTTTGTTAATCGGATGAATTGAAAGATTACCGGTGAATGCTGGAGAAAATTCCCAGACTCGCGTCGCGGACTTTCCGGAGAATTGTCCTAGTATCATCTCGAGGTAGTAAAAGGGTTTGCCCACTAGGATTAGTAGGATTATGTAGGGAATTAGGAAGGCACCACCTCCGTTTTCATAAGCTGTGAATGGAAATCGCCAGACGTTGCCGAAGCCAACGGAAAGGGCTACACAGGACATTAGGAACTCAATGCTGTTGCTCCATCCTCGGGGTGTCTTCTCTTTACTCGGAGATTTTTTGCCTGATGAAGGCACACCTTCTGGTTCTGGGTCAAAAGCCTCATTCTCGTGGCCGCTCATCGTTGCCTGAAAATTTGACTCTCCAAATCACTCGGATTTCATGGAGCTTTTCATCGAGGTAATTTTTTTTTAATTAACAAATTTATGGCCACCTGTACCAGACGCTTTGTTTAAGAATCATTTTTGTGGCCTCGATCATTAATCATCCCGGATGATTGCGTATCTAGATTCAAGTGCAAATGTTTGCTGTGACGTACTATTAATTTGTTACACTCGTAAGTTATGGGAAATTATACTTAAATTTGAAAGTTGTTAAACAATTTCCCATATACTTTGAAATATACTTGCGAAAAAATCAATTTTCTTATCAGCATGAACTATTTAATTTCAAATTTCTCGAGGAGATAACACTACTTACCACTTTCATCCTGATCGGTATAACTAGATTTTACAGAATTATTATTTTTACGCCGAGGAGTTGAACGGAAATGAATTTCTAAATGAGAACTATTGGGACCAGTGGTGGAGTGGTAACATGTCAAGTATCCAATGGGCTTGACAGTAATATGGAAACTGAGCTTTCGCTCACAGAAAAGTAATGAGAGCCCAAGGTGTCCCCTCTCTTTTTTAACATCAGAGATAACTTGCACAAGCACTATCACAGTCAAGACTGTCAATGGATCTGTGATACACGCTGCAGGTTTTTCCAGTTGATTAACAGCAAGTCCTTGCTGGATATTGAGATGATTGATCGAGAGTTGAGGATTCTAGTTTGAAAATTGTTTTGCATTATTTTGCATAAATCAGGATCTTATATCATTTACTCGCAGGATGTACATGTATTTGCAATTTCATTCATTAACTTGCCTGGAAATTAATGTATAATTGAATTTATCCTCTCATGGAAAAATTATTGTTTTGGGGAAATCACCCCAGAAATATTGGCATTTTTAATAGACTCGTTGGATTTTTAATTAGTGTAATTCATTTATTGTGATTTTTGTTGTAATGAATTCAATTCATGCAACAATTAGATATTAAACATACAGTTCTTATAAATACATTATGAAAATTGTTTGGATTTGAAAGCGTTGAAAATACGTCGGCACTTTATGAAGCGGCTAATCCCTTTCATTCTTAAATCCTCACATTTCGTCAATGATTCATCGCATTACGATTTTTCTTTATCAATTTCATCATTTGTTGGTCAATGAAATTTGAATTTTGATTTATCAGCGAGCTGCTGTAATCAAAAACAAATTAATCAACTATTTTTTCCACGCCACCACTCAATCATGCCCTAAACATGCGCCGAGGAATGGATCGAAAAATCTAGCGCTTATTTTTGGAAAAATTCAATTGAATTTCCAATGGAATAGCGCCTGTCAATTTTTATCACTCGACACAAATCTTTTAGCGCAAAAATAAATACAATAATCGACAATTTAAATAAAAACCCCGCAGAATTTTTGATAAGTTCCAAATCTCAAAGATAAATTCATCAAAGTTTAAAGAATTCCTCTTTAATTCAATCCTGAATTTGTCATTGAATTTTTCTCGAATAACAATGAGCCAAAGTCACAAATTAATTCCAATAATGCACCGACTGGCACTTTTTATTTAACATGATGACAAAGCGAAAATGATATTGAAGTAATAATACGAAATAGTAACAATCAAACATATTTTTCAGAGTATTTTCACCATCTGTAAACACAATGTATTAACACCCATAATACAGTTTATCCTGATAAATTGAATTGATGCGACAAAGAAGTGACTGATGAAATAATCAGTCAGATAGCACATGAACATTGAAAACAATCTCGCAACATCTCATCTTTACACCGCCGATGGATTAGTCACGTCATTGAGAAATAATCACAGTTTATTTATTTATCTTCCGCACTTATTACTCATCCTGGGGTCTATAATACTGAAGGCTGTTCTCGATTACAACTATTACCCATCAATCCAGAAAAAATATATTTACAATCGCCAGGAGATAAACTGTTCACGTCAATTTATCCTCTTGGCAGAAGACAACGTAGATGAATTGTTTCAGTCGTGAACTTGTTCTTGTCGCTTGTTTTTTTCGTAGCACCTCTTTAACTTGCTTCCAAGCTGTACGATTGGTGGGGGATATTGGCCCCCAGAGAGGAGTCGGTTGGAATGAAGTCGCGAGCATCTGTAATTTCCAGAAAAAAAAAAATCATGAGACCCACATGAATACGAAATTAACACGATCATTGAGGATTATGATTTCCACCTCGTATAGGCCTAGATGACGGTTTTTTACGAAGGTGTAAGCCATCCAGAAGGGGATTTGGATAATTCCGAATGACAGGAGTGTCCAGCCGGCAGCTGAAATTACAGGAAAAATAATTAACACTCGCTGAGGAGAGAGGGAATAATTTTAAAAATGTTGGTAGATTGATGGAGTATTCTCAAGTTATCCTCACCATATGCACTATCGGGATAATAAACACCACCGTAGGTGAGGGGCGTTAATGTAGCAATAGTGTAAATAAGGATGATAGCGAGTACTAAAGGTGTGGCAATTCCCCAGCAGAATCTCCAATAAATACTGGGTCGTTTTTTCAACATGAATTCGGCATCACTGAGGAAATTTTCAAGGCCGTAGATCCAGAAAATTCCAGTGATCTCCAGAGTGGCCAGACAGAAAACGATAAATGAGGCGGCGTAGTAGTCCACGAGACCGAGGACGAACTGTCCTCCCTTTATTTAAAAAAAATACCAGAAAATTACTAGAATTTTTTTTTTCCTGTTATTCTCCTCAATATTTGTGTAATTACCGGTGTGCAATAAAGAGTTCCAACGCAGAAACCGAAGAGACAAGTGCCGAGTACAACGTACCAGTACCTGAACCTGGGAAATTGATCGCAGATGATGCTGACGATACCTCCAGTCAGAGCGATGGCACTGCCAATTCCCAAGACGAATAGCATCAGGAAGAACAAGAATGAGAACACCTGGACAGGACGATTCAATAATTAAGGGATGAATTTTATAATTACCTTTGATAATATTACGAGGTATCGCACCTGGGGGAGGATATTGAACTTGGCGATGGCATCGGGATAGGAGATGAATGCCAAACCTGTTCCACCCCTGACTACGTTGCTGATGTCATCGGTGCCGAGTTCGTGGGCCAAATTACCCAGGATGCCGAATATCGTGAAACCGGCTATGAGACTGGTGAAAGTGTCTAGGGTTGTCACAACTATAACGTCTCTGCGATATTAAAATTCAATTGAGTGATACAGAGATCGACTCGTTAATTATTAACTTCACTATGAGAAATATTGAGAAATTTTTTTCCCCAACAATTGAAAATTTCTCTTATAATTACTCAGTAAATTGATTAATCACTTTAATCAATTGCTTCATTTTAATTAATTGATCTGTAGAGCTGTACTCACGTATAAATATTATGACTGAAGTCATTGTAAGAGGAGTACATGACGACTCCTCCGAAGCAAACGGACAGGGAGAAAAAGCACTGGGTGACAGCGGCATACCACACATTGGGATCGAAAAGTTTATCCCAATTGGGTTTGATGAAGAAGACGATTCCATTGACAGCACCCTCGAGGGTAACAGCTCTGATTAAGAGTGCAATCATGATAATGTAGGGAAATATTGCGAGGAAATAAGCTGCTTTTCCCGAGCTTTTGACACCTTTCGCTAGAACAGCAAAGATGCAGATCCAAGCTGCAAGCAGACAGATGGTCAACTTCCAGTCTGGCAAGCCGATTCCATCGTCAATATTCAACTTTTCCTTCAGCACCGTCTTCCTATTAATTATTTGAAAAACGTCATTGAGAAATTTTCTTAAATATCTTCAAATATTTGAAATTTTTTTCACACAAAGAAAATATTGACATTTTCAAATTAATTAGAGATGAGAAAAGTGTAAGAAATTGAAAGACTCACGAGAAATAAAGTTCTGCTGAGCTCTTAATGGAACCAACGTTTATTGATGAATTTCTCGTGACATTGGATTTACCGGAATTAACGCAATTATCCCCCCATTCGAGGAGGCAATGAGCCCAGGGTAATTCGGTATTGAAACTCCCGAAGAGGTAGATGAGTGTTACTGACATCAGGGAGCAGTAGTACGTGCCAACAGCTACCATCGAGAACATCTGGGCCCATCCGACTCCTCTCAATGCTGGAACTGCTGACCACATCTTCACCGATGATCTGCTCGTGAACTGACCCATTATCATCTCGAGGTAATAGAAGGGCTTCCCCACCAGGAATAATACGATCATGTAAGGAATTAGGAAGGCACCACCACCGTTTTCGTACGCTGTGAAGGGAAAACGCCAGACGTTACCCAGACCTATTGACATCGCGATGCACGACATCAGGAATTCCCAGCTGTTACTCCAGGTTGGTCGGGCCTCCTCGGGGGGAGGCTGATTTGAGGGTGGCAATTTCTTCAGCTCCAGCCCGGGGTTGAACTCCTGGGGATTCACAGAAATCGGAAAATTTCTAAAGGAAAATTATTCACAGAGATACTGAGAAAAAAAATTATAAAATACACTAATTGTCATAAAAAATGCTCATTAAAATTACTATTTATCAATGTTGGTCTGGATTTGAGTGAATGTGTGTTTTTCAGAATTTTGAAAATTTCAAAGAATTTCATTTAATTTGATTCAATTTTTTGAATTTTTTTCTCAGTGTGGAAAATATTTTTGGGGGCAAGTATCTCAGAAATGAGTGGCTTGAGTGAAAAATGTTGATGAACTTTTTTTAGAGATAGAGATATTTACCTTTTTGGTGTAGGACAAGTGGTTATCGAGATAATTGAGTGATTAGGGGATTCGTACCTTCTGCCTAATTTCGGATTCGGCTTTTCGCAGGTCAATTTTACTGAATCCATCATCATCGATGAATACGGGATTCTCGGCTCCACCCTGAATGATAATTCAATGTTAATTAATCCCAGGAGTTAAACATTTTTACTTCGAATAATGAAATCGTAACGAAAAATTGATTCTTCTCAGGATGAGAATGGGGAAGGGCTAGGACACTTTCTATTCCCGATCGCTCCATCTCAATTTTTCACGTGGGGCAAAAAAAAAAAAGAAAATGAAAGCGAAGTTTCTAATTTTTTTTTTTTACAAAACATTCCATTCAAACCACCAAAAGCAATTTATTTTTTAAATTGCCCCAACAATTAATTATCGGACCAGGAATTTTTCCTAAAAAATTTGATTAACAATTACATAATATTTCGTCGATTTTCTGATGATTATTATTATTATAAAACCTGGTAAAAATACCTAGACTGGTATTTGTCAATATAATTACCATTCGTTAGCGTGATTTCTAAATAAATCTCTCCGTTTCGCGCTATTATGAGTAATTATTGCACGAACTCATTTTCACGTACATTTATCCGGCGAATTCCTCCGATAATTACGGCAGAAATTCTCGCCAATGCATTAATCTTTAAAATATTGTAGGAACAATGAGTTCATATCCAAGTCGATAAACCGCTAAACAATCGGCAAATGTTGTTTCAACATAATTCACTGCTTTACTAGTAAATCGTTATCACTATTCATGACCTAAATCAATACAAAAATTCTTAAAAATGTTAATCACTTACATGTTTCCCCCGCCTCGGCAATTCTCTCCGGCAACTCCCGCAAAACCCAGATAATTTCCTCAAAAACCGCGTAAACCCATCTCTTCATTACCGTCTTCATTACTATTCATTGAAAGTCATTAATTCTAGAGGTTTTTCCCCGTTTTAGGAAATAATGAGCATTTTATTTTCACTGAGACTAGCTTTTAAAGTATTGTAGAAAATCTATTCTTCCTCCAGACGATCATCATTAATTTATAAAATCGTAATAATGAATATTTAATGATTATTTTATTATTATTGGATTTTTACATGAGTTGGATAGAAATTTATTCGGCGTAAGTGAATGGAATTAGATTTATTCCTCTCATTAGGGTACAATGGAGACTAGACATTGCGGCGCCGGAAAATATGGGTTAATGAACTAGTCGGTCATGGAATCATTGGATGACACGTGGATATCTGATATTTTACAAGCGTATGAAACAATTATTATTGATAATTGCGCGTACTGCATCGGTAGTATGCGCTATTCAAGGACTAATTTTCTGTATCATGTTACTTTTATGTTTATTCTGATGAATGATTATCGTAAGAATAGACGCGAGAATGTACAAATGTTTCGGAATTCATTGGAGATTTTCCATTTTTTAACTGAGAATAATGGACATTATGCAGTCTTCAAGGGTAAAACACAGGATTCTACGGCTTCTGATTTTTTTGGGTATTCTCACGGTATTTTTGTATTTAAGTATTTCTCCATTCTGTATTGAAAACCGTCTTGTAACGTTTTTTAAATTATTCAACAAGAAAATTTGTCATCACCTCTGCTTGACATTCAAAAGCAAACGATTTATTTATTTTTAAATATTGCAATAATGTCAGCATTTTTTAATGACTATATTTTATGTTTTTACACAAAATTTTGGGCATGGTATCACCCGAAATGAACTTATGCTTGAATGAATGAATTTCAAGAATGAAAATCCATTCTGTCTGCTCTAATCTACCCCCACAACTTGTTGGCCAACATTTTATACCATTTTAAAGCGCCGCCGTCAATTTGTCTTTTCATTATCTCCAGACAAATGTCAAAGCGTAATATCATTTTTATTACCAACACAATACGTCTTTTAATCTGAAAATTCACCGACATATCTGACCTCAAATTTCAAGGTCTCCAAATAACAAATGATCTAATTAAAATTTATTAGAAAGCAATGCATTCCATTTTGACAGGAAAATCATGAGCTGGGACTTTAATCGTCACCGACGATATCAATTACCTCAATAATTAATTATTTATTATTATCACTCACCTCAACATTCATTTTTGCACTGTTATGGGGAATATTTGAGGAAGAATATCAAACGAAATTCACTCCAAAAGAATTATGAATTGAAAAGAATTGATTATTGGACTGAGTCAATCAGTTCTTTTTATGTTGGATTTTTCAGTCACGTTTTTTTAAATAAAAAATCAGGGTGATCAAATGTGTTTCAATAACTTGTCAAGTTGATGCCGATCATCTGCTAACTGCCACTGCACATCACCTGGTTGGAGGTGTCCACCTCCGTAGCAAGAGTGAAGTAGGGATAATGTGTCTTTCGCTTTTTTGTCTTCTCTTTTTAATATCAGCTCATTCATGGAATGGAAAATCGGTGGGGGGGAGTGATTACAATGAAAGTTCAAGGGACCTATTAATTGTAGAGTTATTAAAAGTACAATGAATCGGATGTACAGTATTTTTGGCTGATTTATGCAGCACCATTGTCAGATGGACTATTCATCTTATCAATTATTCGTTATGTAAGGTTTACTATGCCACATCGTAGTAAAACGTACGAGTTAAGTCGAGTCGTAAAAATACGGGAAATCGGTTCGAATCGCTTTTGTCATTATTTCGTTCATCCCATCTGATTTTTATTACTCTAGGTCATTTGATGAGGTTTTGAAAATTTAATTCAATAATAAATTAATTTTCCAATAATCTTTCGAAAAGATTATACAAAGAGATGGTTAAATCATTTTTTGGGTAATTTACTGGAAAATTCACCGATTTTTTTCCAGTGTCATCTGGATCCTTGGGAAGTACTCTCAAGTTCAGAGTAATCATACTTTTTAATTGGAGGAAATGGATTTTGTAATTTCTCGCTCCAGTGGGAAAATCTGAAATTATATTATTTCCTCGACAATCGATCAATCCGGAATTGTGAAAGGATCTGACTTGTGAATCGATGCACTCGGAGATTTATTTGGAGTGATTAGTCCCGATGGAATAATAATCCATTGAGTCGCGTGATTGCAGATCTTCTGCTTTGAGTCCTTCATACTTTTACGCTGTAGTACAATCGTCGGGGAATGGTGGCAACTTAAGTCATGCATGTATGACCAACGGTGTCAGTGACGATGCTATAAAAGTACGGGGCATTCCTCAAAAGTGGCTATTCCTGCTACATGTGTATTTTCATATCGATTGCGTAAGTTAGGCTCGAGTACTGTTAGTCATTTTTCGATGTTTCATGAAAAATGTGACAGTAAGTCTTTCAGCGGCCGACTCGTACTCATGAACAAATTCATTATAAACATTCAATTGTTGTTTCAAGGGAACATGAATATTAAATATATAATATTCTTCTCTCAATGTCTCGAATTTTTCAGCACTTTGACGGAATAATTGCATTGAAATTTCAGGTCTTCAGTTGTGAAAATTAAACAATAGAATTAAATGAAATTAAAATTCTGTGTAATTTAGCACAAAATTCTGAGGGTAAAAATTAAAAAACGGCATTTCCTCAAAATGTGAGGGGACATTTATTTTCATTTATTTTCAAGGAAAAAGAAAAGCATGAAATTTCTCTATAACATTTGGAACTTTTTGGAAATTCCATGAAAAGTACAACAGTGACTCCCTCGAGGGTGCAATTAAATGGCATTCAATTGGATATTACAATACTATGCTTCGGAACTGGTGGTTGCCTCGCCGAGGCCAATTCACGTGGGAATGCACCTGGAATTCACTGCCTGGATTTCGTGATGATAATTTCGATACTAACGTGTCCAGGGGACGATTGTCACGTCCCACAGCCGCTCCTGGGAATGATAACAAAATTATTGTGTTAAAGAACATGATGTTATAAAAACACAAAACCATTTATAACTGTATTTACAAGAGTAATAAAAAAAGTGCCCAAAAAAGTCGAAAAACTATTGTTTGCTCGAATGGAATTGATCTCAAATTTGATTAAACGGAAGTCGATCCGAATTCCGGTCCCCAATAATTAGTCCATTGTGTAATGAATCCTGTGTAGATCTAGTGAATAATTTTATCGCACCAAAATGGCGCAGGTAAAAATCCGAGTGGATGACAATAATTCATCCATTTCTGGACAAAAAAATCCTATAAATCGTGGGATGTCGTCGTCTCAGGTAAACCGAAAGTTAATTGCTCCCCGAAATTTCCTGCGTCTGCGTCTGGTTTTTACGGTTACGTCCGGAGACCCTGAATCGGGTGCAATTTAGCCCGGGGAATTCCGGGCTTTTTTCCAAGGATATCTCCAGGGTTTCGATTGCCATCGACAGCTAACCAGTTGCCACCAGATATAGCTGGATAACACCGCGACTTTCACCCGCCACCGATCCGTTGATTCACCAGCCCTTCTCCATGAAGGCTATTTTCAATCAATATCTATTCCTCATTAATTCAACTCGATATCGCTTCAATTATGATAATCTATTCGAGGTTTCCATCAACAACAATTTTTTTATCATAAAATCCAAGAGCGATTATTTCAATTTGAAAAACACCGAGTCGTACAGAAAAATAGATTGTCTCATCATTTTACCGTTCACCTCCGACAGATTCAGATATGTTTTCAATATTATTTGATCTTTCATTTGTTGATTATTTGTCGGGAAAATTGTTGGTAGTGAAAGAATTTGAATTTTTATTTGTTACCAAGAATAAATTCAAAACAAATTTTTTCGTTAGCCAGTGGCTGAATTTTCAAGGAAATTGTTAATAACTTTTAATGTTGAATATCTCCGAATAGAAAAATGATGTGAAAAAATTAAAAATCACTCCACGAGGGCTAATTCACGCTTATTATGAATCGCGGGGCGCTCCCCGCTCAGATCCGTTCAGCATTTCCTGGGATTTTCATTATTGCGTGAATGGTGAATTTTTTTTTTTAATTTTCCAAGTGCCATTTGATCAAAAAATTCCAGGAAAAGGTGAACGGATCTGAGGGACGGAGGCCCCCGCGATTCATAATAAGCGTGAACTAGCCCTCGGGGCGTGATTTTTAATTTTTTTCTCTTTTTGACCAAATGGCACCTGGAAAATTTCCAAAAAAAATTCACCATTCACGCA